AAATAAAAATCTAGGGATGTCAAGTCGGGTGATCTTGAGGGCCATTTTTGAACTCGGCTGCCCATACCAATCCACCTATTCGGGAATCTATTGTTTAAATATTATGTAACAGCTCGAGATCTATGAGCCGGTGCTCCATCTTGTTGGAACCACATTCGTCTGAGTAAATCATTGTCAACATGTCTCAAGAGGTTGGGCAGGTTATCTTGAAGAAATCTTACAAGGGGAGGACGCATCGACCGGGAAACGGTTTGGAACGAAACTTACGGAGTTAATAGTACTTGACTACTAATAACTCATGGTAATAGCATATGACGCAATACCTCTTCGTTTTCGAGAAAAAACGGTCTAAAGAAAAGAGCCAACAAAGTGTATGAGTTAGTAAGAGAGGTATTCAACGAAGCAGCGTAGCACAGCAGCGAAGGTAACGGACTACCGAGCTGACGGCTAAGGTTCGATCCCTGCTGTGTAGTTTTTTTTTATTCTGTAAGAATAAAAATGAAACAGAAAACATTAATAAATAATAAAACTGCTTTTCTTAAATATATTAGTGTTTGTTAAATATATTATTAATGATTTAAATTGCAAAAAGACCGGAAATCTTATCTATAAAATATATAGTGTATGAGAAAATTTTTATATAATAATTGCAATGGAAATAGGAATAAAAATATTGTTATGAAGTATATAGGAATGCTATTAACCCTTTGCGGTCGATGCCGCCACAGTGGCGGCATTCGTAAGTCGTCGTAGAAGTCGATGCCGCCAGGTTGGCATTCATGATCGCCTGGCGTGCAGCACGGCAAATGAGGCTAGCGATAATGAAAGAAAACTATCTTCCCGATACTAGATTCAAATGTTTAGATCAACTTACAGATATCCATGTTTATCGATCTCTTCGAAATCGGTCGATCGCAAAGGGATAAACTAATATGAGATAATTTTTCGTTCTTATATTGTATATATAAAATATTTATTTCTGTTACAACTCTCTATATATGTAGAAGTCGTGTTGTGTTGAAGTTGTGTTGTGTCTTTATCTCTTCTGGCAATCCCCCTCCAGAAACTTCCTTTGTGTCATTCTAAACGATCGTTAAGAATGACGAAATGATTCGAGCATCGGAACAGTCGTCAGTAGAGCAAGCAGCAGTGTGCGTTTACTAGTGATACAGAGCAATTCGGTAATCATATTTAAATTATATATATCATAACAATGTCAGAGAATCCTTCAACAAGCAAAATAGTTGATGTAGAATCGCTAGAAGAAAGATCTTTTGAAAATGAAGATTTTAAAGGTGAATTCACTAATACTCTCGTATATGCGAATTCTATTTACGAGAATAATGAATTATTATCGAAAAATCCTTCAGCGAAAATATAATATATTTTTACGCCTATTTCCATTGCAATTATTATATAAACATTTTCTCATACACTATATATTTTATAGATAAGATTTACGGTTTTTTTGCAATTTAAATTATTAATAGTATATTTAACAAACACTAATATATTTAAGAAACGCAGTTTTATTACTTATTAATGTTTTCTGTTTCATTTTCATGCTTACAAAATAAAAAAAAACCATACAGCAGGGATCGAACCTCAGCCGTCAGCTCGGTAGTTCGTTACCTTCGCTGCTGCGCTACGTCACTTCGTTGAATACCCTTCTTACTAACTCGTACACTGTGTTGGCTCTTTTCTTTAGACCGTTTTTTTTCGAAAATGAAGAGGTATTGCATCGTATGCTATTACCATGAGTTTATTATTAGTAGTCAAGTACTATTAACTCCGTAAGTTTCGTTCCAAACCGCTTCCCGGTCGATGCGTCCTCCCCTTGTTAGGTAGATTGCCGCATTGAGATTTTCTTCAAAAAAATATGGACCAACAATAACATCTCCCAGGATGCCTGCCCAAACGTTAATGGACCACTGCCGTTGGAACTCTTGGCTTCTCTGCCAATGTGGATTAGCATCTGAATAATAATGGCAGTTATGTCTATTAACGCCTCCTCTATTACAAAACGTGGCTTCATCAGAAGAAAGAATATCAGCAATGAACCGGGGATTTTGTTGGATTTGATCTCGAGCCCAGTTACAAAAATGTACACGGTGTTGGTAATCCTTCTCTTCCAATTGCTGAGTTAGATGAATGTGATATGGGTGAAACTTGTTGAGCTTGAACACACGATTGGCTGTTGATTTAGATATACCGTATATACGTATTGCCTCTCAATTTGTCTCGTAGAGATTTGAGGATTCAAAGCAACGGCACCTATAACAGTCAATGATGTGACTTCATCAGGGCCCGATTTTCGCCGGCTTCTTCTAAGAAAGCACTGTTCAGCTCTGTCGCAGAGTCTTTTTATTACTTTCCTATCAGGATGGCGTCTGTCTGGAAATCTTTCAGCATAAAGCCTTTCTGCTGCCGAGTAATTATTCCTGGCTTCACCCAAAATGTGAATCATGTCCACAATTTCATTTGGTAGATAAGCAGCTATAATTATAAAGAAAAAAAGCGCCAAAAAACCAAAAATTCCTGTCTTATAAAAAAAAAGTCAATGGATAATAATATGCGTCTGTCTGAGACTTCGCCAAAATACTGACAGTTGTCCAAGTAAGAAATTTGAAACAAGCCTCTTGATATTGGTTTCATTAAAAGAATTGACAATTGCACTTTCACAATTGTTACAGTTCATTGATTATCAGGCAATACAGGATCTCGTCTTGACTGGCTGGATCATGCTCGGATCTTGCCTTGACTGGCTAGATCATGCTCGGATCTTGCCTTGACTGACTGGATCATGCTCGGATCTTGCCTTGACTGGTTGGATCATGTAAGATAAGACTATCGGAAAGTGAATGTTTTACGAAATATTTTGTATTTTTATCAAAATTTTGTAAATTTGGAGCTTTATAACTCGAAAAGTACTTCACTAAAAAACATTTAATTATAGTGTTTTGGAAAGCTCTCTAGGTCAGCTACAAGAATATGTAATGAAAGATAGGGGGTGCCATCTAAAAAAATTGAGGCAACCTTCACGCGACCTTCAAATGACTCTTCAAGGTCAAATCAATGGTACCATCTTATGGCCCCTTCGAAACCATATAAAACGTGTCTGAACAATTTTTCTCTAAAATCCAAAATAAGAGAGATATTTGGGGTGGACACTTAAAATGGGACACCCTGTATATATATATATATATATATATTGGGTGTACAAATTAGTTCAGTCCGTTTTCAAAAGATGGCTCCTGCTGTTATGAATGGTTCATAGTGACTGCCGATTTTGGCGGTATCAAAGAGGTTAGACATCTGCCAATAATATTCAGTTTATATCGCTTTTATACAAGAGTTTCATACAAGAACCTTGCTTTTTACAGTGTTGAAAATGTCAAATTTTGTGTGAACCAAGCAACATTTGCGGGAGGTTTTAATTTTCTGCTTTAATTGGAAGAAAAATGCAGCTGAAACCCATCGAATGCTTGTTGAAGTTTATGGTGACGCTGCTCCAACTGATAAATCATGTAGGGAATGGTTTCAAGGATGGAGATTTCAGCGTCAAAGACAAGCCTCGCTCTGGACAGCCAAAAAAATTCGAGGACAAAGAATTAGAGGCATTACTCGAAGAAGATCAGACTCAAACGCAAAAGGAGCTTGCAGAATCATTGGGAGTGACTCAACAAGCCGTTTCCGTACGATTGAGAGACATGGGAATTATTCAAAAACAAGGAAATTGGGTGCCTTATGAACTGAAACCGAGAGACGTTGAAAGGCTTCTTCATAACACGCTCGGCCTCATGTCGCAAAAGTCGTAAAAAAATATTTGGAAACGCTCAAATGGGATGTTTTACCACACCCGCCGTATTCTCTGGATATTGCTCCTTCTGATTATTGGTTGTTCCGAAGGATGCAGCACGATTTGGCAGGTCACCGGTTCACTTCTTTCGCAGATATCGAAAATTGGCTCTAAACTTGGATCGCCTCAAAAGACGAGTCATTTTTTCGAGATGGAATTCGAAAATTGCCTGAGAAATGGGAGAAAGTAGTAGCCAGCGATGGAAAATACTTTAATTGATCTGTTCATTCATTTTGTTTTGAAATAAATACATTTTTTAACACAAAAAAACGGACCGAACTAGTTTGTACTCCCAATATATAAAGCATTATTGCTTACAAATTATATTACAAATGTTGCTGTAATGTTACATTGCAATGTTATTGCAATATTTCATTGCAATATTGCTGCAAACGGACATTTTACTTTTGCTGCAAGATCCCAAGTAGAACAAAAAATCATGATGACATCAAAATGACAAGAAAATGAAATTTTGAGAAACCGCATCATAGATGAGAAAAAGAGTTTTCCTCATCATTTTGACGTCATTTTGATGTCACCGTGATTTTCTGTTCTACCTGGGATTGCAGTAACATAGTAGCAACATTTCGCATCATTTCTGCAATGTTGCAAACTTGCAAAACAACGTTCCTGCAATGTTGCTGCAACGGTGCTGTGCTGTATGGGATCCTTCACGCTATACGAACATTATTATTTTGATCATTTTAATTTCTTTGATATTTATTAAGAATTACCCGGAACGCAACTGCTATGTTGAACGACTCAATTGTCGTGTGAAATGTTTCGATGTTTTCACAAATTTATATAAAATTTCATAAATTTTGTAAAATTTCATAAATTTTCATAAATTTATATAAAATTTTTCATTTTTCACTATTCACAAAAATTTTTCACTTTTCACCAGTTCACGTTAGGGAAAAGATTCATGATCGCTGCCTAAGACGGGCGTAATGTGCACACATTTTCTTAGAGGGCGCGTCGGAAAATGCGTCCCGTGTAACCAACTCGGTAGCCGTTCTCAGATTTCTCTCTGCCTCCATGAAGAGAAGAAAAGAGAAGAGGTTCCATTTCAACTTCGCTAGTACACGTAATCTCTTTCTTTCGGTTGTTTGTTTTACGGTGGATTCGGTGTACGTGAAGTAACTTGGTATAATCGGAGAAATCCAATTGTTATTAACAATAATTCGTCGAAATTCGCGAACAAATATCGCACAATTTAGCCCGATCTATACGAATATCTACGAATAGTATTTTTATGGCAACGAACACTAATTTTACAATTTCATCACGTGTGCATTGTGTAGTTTCCGTGTAAAATTCCCGATTGTAATTTCTAATTTTATATTTTAAAATTTTTATTTTAAATAGAAAATTATTTAGGAAACTAAATCTAATGCAAATTTTAACAATTCTCTTGTCTGCACACTTCTGTATTATATATTTTGTAGAATGTGGTATATAACCTCTGATCATTTATCTTTACAGATGGCGGATATGAAGGTGAAAACTCCGGAAAAGGCGGCGCCGACACCGGCACCTGTAGCTGCAGCTACAGTGGCGGCAAAGAAGAACAAGTCTCCTTCAAAACCTAGAAACTATAATTTGGGAAATGGTGTGTACAGATTTAGTCGTACACGTATGTATCACAAGAAGGCGATCTACAAATTCCTCGATAAGAAGACTCCAAAGAAAGTGAGTTAAGATTAGAACATTATGGCACTTTTTTTATTTGTACTCTGACATAATACTGAAATTATAATTGTTACATATAATAATGCTTATACAATTGAAATGCTGTGAAGAATTTAATTAAAAATTTGTTAATTGTGAAGATTATAGGTCTCTCACGAATTTTGCTGAAACTTTGCACAACTGTGTATTTTGGTGCGTAGAACGCGATTTTGCAAGAAAAAAGGGTAATTATTTAGAAGATGGGCCTCACCTTGGATTTCGCTCAAACTCACCTATCTTATGTATTTTGACGTGTAGGAGCCAAATCTGCAAGTAAAAATTGCCGCTCGACTCTAGTTTGCGAGAAATAAATTGGTAAAAAATGACACGTGCAAGGTTAGGAAATCTGTCATGCCGGTAATACAGAGACTTATGGTTTGGTCTTTTTAGTCGGAAAATGTAAAATAGTACATAAATAGTAAGCGGGGGAGGGGCGAAGCGCTCTCCCCAAGGACATTTTCTTCTAAATAATTACCGAAAAAAGTATCGCTCTCAAACGGATTAAAAGTTATAAAAATATGAAAAATAACGCATGGGTGAGGAATCTGTCATGCCGATAATACAGACTAACTGAGAAGCATGCGCAATGCGTTAAAGTGTAAGTGTCATATAAACATGGGAGGGGCGGAGCCCTCTTCCCAAAGAAATCCTAACCAAACTTAACGCATTTTTATTATATACTGTTTTGAGAGTGGGTTTTAAAAATTATAATCTTTTCAACAATAGCCAACATATAAGTATATATATAATATATAATGTAATATAGTATATATATAATATATAATGTATATAATATATATGTATATAAAGATACAATAAGTTGGGTTAGGTTAGAATTTCTTTGGGTAGAGGGTGTGGGGAGGGGCTCAGCCCCTCCTCCGCTTATATGTACTATCTTCTACTTCTACTGCAAAGTACTTACATGTGCTTTCGAACTAAAAAAAATAGACCATAAGGGCCAGAACACAGACTTCTACATAACACATAATCAACCAGAGTTCTTCATTTTTGTCCTGAGGAGGGAAATGAAGAAAACTAATTGGTTTGTTCTCTTATGTGTTATATATTATGTGTTATGCAAAAGCCTATGCTCTTCCCCTAAGTCTCTGTATTACCGGCATGACAGATTTCCTAACCTCGCGTGTGTCATTTTTTATCACTTCGTAACTTTTGATTCGTTTGAAAGCGACACTTTTTTCTTCCAAAATCGTATTCTACGCATCAAAATACACAATTATGCAAAGTTTCAGCGAAATTGATGAGAAGGCCCATATTCTTAACAATTTTCACAACTCAATTTACAAACCTTTTTATTTTGTTTAAAATCTGTATGAATGAATTTATCATGACAGGTAAAGCCGAAGAAACGATTGACAATTGAGAAGCAGATTGGTGGTGACAAGAATGGTGAGACACGTATCGTGCTTTTGAAGAAGAGACGTGCCAATTATCCTACTGCAGATCCAGTCACTGTGCACCATGCTAAAAAGTGCTTCCGTGATCATCGTCGTTATCTACGACCTTCATTGATACCAGGAACCATCTGTATCATGTTGGCTGGTCCTCATAAGGGCAAGAGGGTTATTTTCCTCAAACAATTGAAGAGTGGATTGCTTTTGATTACTGGTACATGTTTATCATTATATATCATATCAGCATCACCAAGGCCATTATTCTGTATATAATTATTATTGACTTTCAATTTGCTGAGTGTCATTGTGTATATGTAATCATATTATAAAATAACTGTGCAATGACATATATTGAGCTAACAGTTGTCAGTAAATATGCACGGAATAGTAGTTTAAGATATAACAATGAAGCTACAATTTTCCTGAGAGAATTATTCTTTTTTTCTATGTAGTAAACACAAAACTACACATGTTCGGTTGTAATATCTTAGGATGTATTAGCAATAATATAATATTAAATTGTAAACATATAAAAAGGCTTAAGAATTAAGTTATGATATTATTCACACATTGAACATTTGATATTGTCGATTCTTATAATGTAGGAATGATTTATTAATTATATGGTAATGAATTCATATAGGACCATTCTTGATCAACGGCTGTCCTCTGCGAAGAGTGAGTCAAAATTATGTAATTGCTACATCCACGAAGCTGGACATCTCAAGCTTTGAATTGCCACAACATATAAAAGATGAATACTTTAAGAGGAAGCGTGATAAGCGTGCTAAAAAGGAAGAAGGAGATATCTTCACTAAAAAGAAGGAGGAATACACGCCGAGCGACCTGAGAAAAAAGGATCAAAAATTGCTCGACAAAGCAATTATTGATATTATCAGAAAACATCAAGATAAGAAGATGTTATTTGCTTATCTCTCGGCGATGTTTGGCCTCCGAAGCAGTCAATATCCACACAGATTAAAATTCTAATCTGTTAACAGATCTTTCAAAGAAATAAAGTAAAATGTCTCAAGTTGTGTTTTCTTTTCTTTATTTTTTTACATATTGTACAAATCCCTTCGACTTCAGTCGCTCCGCTCCTGAAGTCTTCGAAAATTACTGTCACGCGGAAAGCACGTGATAGTCCGCGAGTTCCAAACAGCTGGGTATCAGCTGTTTGGCGCGTGCTTGCTGAAGCATCGGCTCTTCGATTCGGTCGCGTCGGTTGCCGATTGGCTAGTCGGATCACACCGTGGTCTCAGGACCACGGCGTGCTCCTGAGGAGCACGAGTGAAAGGCAAAAGCCCGTTGGCTTTCGATGCGATAGACAGACATCGCTTGTAACTCACTCGATAAACTCCGATTAGTAGAATCAAGGATTCAGTGGAAACCGAAATTTATTTCCTCCCGGCGACAGAAAAACTCGTGCTATTGCGGTACGCGAATTCAAAGAATCGCGCCGGGCAATCTCCACACTGGAAACTCGGATTCTAACATATATATTCCTATATATTATATTTTTCTATAAAGTAATGTAATATTACGACAAAAATATAATTTTGATCGAAACAAATCTGGTGCGCGTTTACTTAAAATAACAGGATAATCCAAGAGAGAGAGAAGAGAGATATTTCAACCATCTTATATTCATACTAGGTTTTAAAGTTTCGCGGCCATTGATACAATCTAGGAGTCTCGGTGCGACTACGGGTTACACCTGTTTTTGGACGGTCGTGTTATCGCATATTTTCTTTTGGTGCTATTGGCTTTCTAATTTGGTTTTTCGATTGGTTTTCGATTTTTGTTTTGGTTTATCGCGAGTTCTAATTTGATTTAAGTTTTTCTTTTTCTGGGCTTTCGTATTGAAAGCTTTTGTTCGTTTATTAGGTTGATTATTTTGGTGACACGTAGTGTACACGTGATCACTCGTATACAAGTGATTTATCTGTCGAGATGGAGATCGATTCTATGGACGTTACTCCTGATGTTAGTTCAGAAGGGAGTTTGTCTGACGCAAATGCGTTGTGCAATAGGAATAATATGAGAATCAAGTCTGGTGATGTGCCTGAAAAACAAAGGGCTCTTTGTCCAGGCGATATAAAGAAAGAGCTGGACCACGTGATGCGTGACGAGGACATGCGTGATCAGTGCTTGGATTCGTCGACCTTTCCAATAACAAACAAGCTATACAAACGATTTTTGATCTAAGAGTTTCTCAGAGTCTCTGATGCCCTCTGGGAGCATTGAAGGCCGACGGCTTACTCCTGATAAGGACAATTCAGCTAATATCCGTAAGGTCAATGAAGGTCCTGCTGCTGCTGCTTCTTCTGCTTCTGTGCCTCCTGTCGACAAGGGATGTAATGACTCCGTCATAGGGTCGGAAGTTGGTGGTGTCGGTGCAGGTATTGACATTATACGTGATTTTCCGGTCATTGCTGGCATGTTAAAAAACCGTTATGATAGGTCTAGTCAAGGTCCGTTTGTTGTTCTTATAGAAAAACTTGTCATTGACTCAAAAGACTCTTGTGATTCTGAGGAGATTGGAGTCTTGAAATTAGGTAGAGCTCTACTTAATGTTTATAATTTAAGACGTATCCTTAATGTAGCATATAATTTCAGAAAATCGGGGAAAAATAAATTTTATATCGCTTTGCCTACATTTGATTTGGCAAATGAATTAGTTAACTCTTTTGAAAGAAAAAAAGAACCTCTTTTTAAAGGGGAAACTTGGGTAGCTTTTGTGCCAGATTATAAGGTAACAAAAAAGGTCATTTTAAAAGGCATCAATGATATGGATTTTGATTATAATAATATAATGGAGCTCCTGAGTTCTCCTCCAGGATGGAGAGATAATTGGTCACAACCTCTGAATGTTTGTGCTTTGAGAAAGAAGGTTGCTGACCCCACGGCTCAGGGAGGTGTCAAATATGTCGACACAAATACCATTGTGGCAGTCTTCCCTAATATAACATTACCGAATTATTCTCTTTTAATTGGTAAAAGAATTTATATGATTCCTTTTATTCAGAGGGTCATTAGGTGCCTTCATCGTCAACGATTTGGGCATTCCATCAGGGTTTACAGAGGACGTCGGTCCCCGATAACTTGCGCGAGATGCGCTAGCTCTGGATATTCAGGCGATGAATGTTCTTCTGAGAAAATTAAATGCATCAATTGTCTCCGATTGAAACGGGAGGATAAGGACTTGATGCATAAAGCATCAGATGTCAAATGTCCCGTATTCTTGGAATAAAAATTAAAAAAAAGATCATGGCCACCTTTTGTCTCTCCCCTGGGGAGGCGGACATGTTCCTGAGAGATAAGGGACCTATCCCTTTAGGGGAATGAATATGTTGGGGGGGATCTTTACCTCTCCCAACTCTTAATGACTTTATTATTAGAAGATCATATGCCAATGTGGTCCAAAAGAATACGAAATTTAAGGAAAAAGATAAGGTTAAAGCAAAGATTTCTTCTCATAATACTGAATTGGAAGTTGCTAATAATTCCCTTATTTATAGGGTTCCGGAAAACATGTCTCATCCTAGAGAGGATTCTCTGTTGGCCACAAAGAAGGCTCGCAACCTCATCACTAGTGGCCCTATTTCCAAGGCAAAAAATAGTCTCCACTATAAAAAATCATAAGGATCTTTTGTCTGGAGAAAACGAATTTCTTCGTTTGTCTTCTCCAAAAAGAGCGGACACGCACGGGACCATGGATCCTGCTCTTAACATCGCTGGTTCTACCGTGGTTAAGGAGTCCTCAGGAAAGCTTTCATTGGAAAGGCAAGAGGATCCTAAGATCATAAGTGACATTCTTATCGATAATTATAGAAATATTAAAAAGGTTTCGCTGCCCGAATTGGGTCCGGAGGGTCCTGGGGCTGGAGGTTCTGCTCGTTTCACCTCTTTGGTTACTTTCGGTGCAGGGGTTGGGTTGATGGATCCTCCCTCCTCGGTGCCTTCGGTTGTTCCCGAAGATATGGCTGCGCCGCGTACGATGGCGGAACTGGCCGGTCGGTTAAAGAATATGTCATTTGAAAAAGCCACAAATTTACTTGCCGATTATGCAAATGATACGGACAACCCTTTCTACTTGTTGGTTAGGGGTTTTTTCGTTAAAAAGAGGCATTCTCAGGAATCAACTGAGCTTATCTTCTCTGATAGTGTTTTTGTCAGTTTTGATACTAAATGTATTTCACATTCCAATCTAACAGATTTCATTGTATTTCTTTGTAATCAGGAAAAGGTAGATACCTCTTCCACCACCTCTTCTCTCTTAAGTAATGAATAAATATAAACATCCTATATATAACTGTAACTTATTTTCTTTCAGTAATCTCCACATATCACAATGGAATGTGAATTCTGTCAGATCAAGATACGCGGACATTTGTTATGTCCTTGACAATTTAAAGATGGACATTATGTACTTAATTGAAATAAAGATCTCTGACGATGTTCCATGCAGATTCAATAATTATAAATTCATAAGAAAGGGCCGCTCTAATCATGGCGGTGGTCTTGGATTCTTGATTCAGAACAACATTAACTTTAAACATACATCCTTCCCCGACGTAGAAAAAATGTGAGGACCATGGGGTTGAGATCCTTTTTGTTTGCATTAGCAGCCTTAAAGGTAAGAATTTGTTTTTAATTGGATTATATAATCCCCCAGGCGTCAGACTAGATTCGACTGCGTCTGGGTGCAAGGACGTTATTTTCTGAGTCAAACTGTTTGACTTCTGCAATTCTCTTGGAGATTTTATTTTGATGGGCGATTTCAATGCTCACAGTTGTCTGTGGGGTGGTGTTAATAGTAAGGTTGATAGAGAAGGAGTTTCTCTTGAATTAGCCATAGAATCTTCTAATCTGCTTTGTCTTAATGACGGGAAATTCACTTGGGCTTCATCGGACTTATCGACTCATTGTGTTATCGATTTGACTTTGGTCTCCTCGAGTTTTGCCACTAATGTGGTTGTCAACACTTCCGATGACAGATACGGCAGTGATCATTTTATTATTGAGATAAAGGTAAACTGTTTTGATACTATTTTTCCCCCATGTAGACCTTCTTTATCTTTGGCTGACCTTGACGAGACTGGCTTCCGATCTTGCCTTGTAGATCGCTTCAAGGATTTTCCGGCTCATGTCGGTGCGATCAATGAGGTTTACAATAATGCTTTAGAATCGATCAAAGATTCTTTGATTTCAAATGGTGCATTTAAAAAGACTTGTAATAAGGTTTGATGTGGTCAACCCGCGGTTTGGTGGAATGAGAAATGCGAAGAGCTTGTTAATGACAAGAGACGTGCGTTTAGAAGATTTTGTAATAACCCTTCTTTAGATAATTTTAACGCTTTTGAAGATACTTCTAAAAGGGTTAAGAAGGAGTTACGTGCAATTAAATCTTTATCTTTTAAAGATTTTTGTGGGAGCCTGGACTCTCAAACACCTGTGGCCTCCGTTTGGAGCACTCTCAGATCCTTTAAAAATAGGAAAATGGAAGTATCCAGATCCTTAAACAGCTCGGAAGCTGTAGATGCTGCTGTACTGGTCTTTGATAAGATCGTCCCTCTCCAGAATTGTTCTTTGGCTCTGCATCGGCATTTTGTTTGCCCTGAGCTGGATCTGACTGGAGATATTTCAGAGTCAAGGCCCCTGACACCTTTACTGGACGGGGATTATGTGAGTGAGGGAAGACTTCGTCTTATATGATTGGGAAGGCACCTTTCCCGCTGATTCTTCCTTTTCGGATGGCTTGTTTCCTGACCTGGATTTTGACTCTTTGGTAAGACCGTTTACTGAGGAGGAACTTTGCTTTATTGTTTTATCTCTGAGGATTAAATCGGCTCATAGCCCTGACCTTATTTCTAACCGTGTTATTAAACTGCTTCCGGAGCCGATTATTTCTTTTTTCTTGAAATTACTCAATCGTATTTTTCACTTGAGAATTTACCCAGATTGTTGGCGTCAATTTTTTATGATCTTTATTCCAAAGCCAGGTTCACGATCCTTGAGACCGATAACGCTTGTAAATTCTCTTTTCAAGATTTTTGAGGTTGATCCATTCGAGATTGGAATACTGGGCGGAAAATAGTCTACTTCTCCCATCCACTCAATTTGATTTCCGTCGGGGTAGATCTACGTCGGACAGCTTGACTTATTTAACTTCGGACATCAGACTCGGTTTTGCCAGATCTGCACATACAGGCAGGCTCAGTCATGTTAGATATTAAAGGTGCATTTGACAATGTACGACCGAATATCTTAATTCATATTTTAAGACAAGCTCAACTTCCGGAGAAATTTGTCAAATTCATAGAATTTATGGTCTCTATAGAATTTATGGTTAGGTACATAGATGGATATGTTAACAGGGTAAAAATCGAATCCAGAACAGCGACGATGGGACTTCCTCAGGGTTCCGTGCTTAGCCCTATTTTGTACAATATATATACTTCTTTCTTATTTAAGGAACTTCCTGAGGACGTTAAGGTCCTCTTGTATGCTGACGATATATGTTTTTATTCTTCGAGCCAAAGTATTAAAGTTATTTTTAATCATTTGAATTTAGCCATATCCTTTTTTGAGAAAGCCTTAAGATTTTTGGGTTTGCAGGTGGCCCCGGAGAAATCGAAATTATGCATTTTTTCTCCCCGTGGACATAGAAAGGTATGGAATTATGTAGAGAAGAGAAGACTGAAGGTGAGCCTTGGGAGCATTGTGGTTCCTTTATTTAAAAGCGTAAAATTTTTGGGCCTTACGCTCTCCAGAGACTTGTCTTGAACAGCTCACGTTAAAGATATTAAGCATAAATGTATGCTTAAATTGAATGTTATGAAGGCTATTGCTGGTGTTTCTTGGGGTTCTCACCCTCATAACTTGATTGCTGTTTATAAAGGCTGGATTAGGTTATCTTTAGATTATGGGTCGTCTTCCTTCCTGGATATTGCTCTTGGGGATGCCCTTATTTTGGACAGAGTACAATTTTCTGCGCTCAGAATTGCTATGGGCTTAATGTCTACAACACCTACTAACGTTGTGCTGGATCTTGCTGGTGAACTTCCTCTTCAGTTCCGTAGATCTTTACTGATCTCTAGATACATTCTAAAAGCTTTCTCTGTGAAATCGCATTTCTTGTCTAGACTAGTTGTGTGGCTCTTTTCAGACATTGGCAAGAGGAGACTTCATGGTATGGAGGATCCTTTTTTTTCCATCCTCATGAACTTATGGGAGCAATTCGGGGCTAATATGTATCGCACTTTTCTACCCAGTTCTTTGGATTCTTCCCTGGAAGTTGGGAGTTTTCAGCCGGAGGGGGACTCTTGTTCGGGTTTCGATTTTCAGATAAAACGCAATGAAGATAATATTTTCTCTATTACCAGCATTGTTTCCACTATTCCCATAACACCTTTTGCGGAGCATCTCTTTCAATCTTATTTGAAAAATTATGGATGTCATGAATACACAATTTTATATACAGACGGTAGCAAACTTGGCTTCGGTGAAACAGGTTGTGCCGTGTTTTCTTTTGACCTTCTGATTGAAAAGAGATTCAATCTTTCCAGTTTAATTTCTATCTTTGAGGCTGAACTCACGGCCTTGTTACATGCTCTCAGAATCATTGATAAGCATAATGTAAATAAAACTATAATTGCCACGGATTCTAGAAGCGCGGTCTCATCAATTTTAAGTCTCAGATGCGAAATATACGCATCCATGGATTATTTTAATAAAGGATATTTTGTATCAGCTCCATCGTAGAGGTACGATTGTGAAATTGCTCTGGATCCCAAGTCATTGTGGTATCTTGGGCAATGAAAAAGCTGATGCATTGGCTAAGGAAGCGGCTTTAAGGATATTTTCTTGTGAACCTCATCAACAGATCTATCCTTATTTCAGCTTGTTAAGTTAATAAGTTTAGAAATTAGGGAGGAATCATTCAAATTTTTGAAGATGTCTGCATTGGTGAAGGGCCACCGTTATTTTAACAGAGTCAGAATTAAACTCGAAAAGCCATGGTTTAGAGACTATAATTACTTATCAAGAAGTGTATTGACTCTTATCGGAAGACTCCGAACGTATCATGTGGCTGTTAATGCTCATTTATTCGATAAAGGCATAGCGGATTCTCCATTGTGCCCGTTTGACAATTGTTTTCAAACTATAGATCATGTATTTTTTGAATGTGCCGAAATTCGAAGGAATCCTATTGGCTTATTAAAGAGACTGCACAAAGCGGGTGTCGGCCCTGCTGAGAAAATTGCCGATTTAGTTTTCTCCAACAATTCCCAGGTTTTCCTCCTTCTGGAGAGTTTTGTACGTAAGGTTGGCTGCGCCATCTAACTATTATATTAACTAGAAGTGGACAAAGAGATTGAAATCTCGGGCCCATAGTTGGAAGAAGAAGAAGAAGAAATTCTTACAGTCATTGTAGAACAGCCATTAGATATCTTGAGTACCAAGGCCGTGTTCCAAAATTCACTGCCAGCGTGAAAAGTTATAGTTTGCGTGACACAAACTATATATTTTCAGTACTGGCAGTGAATTTTGGAACACGGTCCAAGTGTTATTAAACAAAACGCTCGAATATGTATCGACATTTTGACGTAGCGTTTAAAGTTCGGAAACGTTGATGAGCGTGAACAGCCAGTTTGTTTTAGACAGTTTATCTAATTTGTTCCAGTGCGACTGCGACTCGGCATCGTGTTCATTTATATGTCAAGTCAAAGTGAAAATATATGTCAATAAATCTTCCTAATGATCGAGATTGAAACGACGTCATTGTCGTCGTAAATATGAGCGGCGTCAAAAAGAAGGCCAACCACTTAGCAGTGTTTAAACAGCGTACAAAAAACGACGATGATGCCGAGCTGTCGAAAAGCGCGATCATATCGGCAAGAAAGACTGGACGATTGAATCTCTCGTCGAGAGGATTGTCCTCGGGTATTTGCACCAACACAATCTATATACGTACTTGGATATTACGAGCATAGTAATAATATTCAGTCATTAGCATTTTACCATTTTGTTATTCGTTCTTGAATTTTCATTTATTTCTTATTCATGTGCTACGTTATTTCGAGCATGTTTCGTTTTATGTCGCGGACAAGATTGCATTCCTTGAGTGGATGTGCATGCTTATTGATATATTACATATTTTACATATTCATATTCAGCCGAGTGATATAGAGGTGATCTCATCAACATCTCAAGGAAAAACAGTATGCAAATCTTTTGTTTCTTTGGATGTGGATCTTTTATTTCTTTGAATGTTGTTTATAAATATTACATGGATGTTAATTGTTGCACAGCATACATGTTTGTATATATAACACCTATGTTGTACGAATATTGTATGATTGCAAAGAAATGTAAAATATGTGTAATGTTATTCTGTTCACTCATCGTACCATAAGACTACTTTTGAAGTGAAGATATACAAAAAAGGTATAAAAAATGAAGGTATATGAAATATCAGAATTTATAATTAATATTACTAGTGTTATATATATTAAATAATTGATTAGTATTATGAATTGGCTCTCCTCGACATAGATGTGCATATACTAATATATGAATAATTCAATATATGAATATTGTAAGTTCAGCAATATGTGAAAGTCTGAAATAAATTTAGTTTTAATTTATATAAATTGTGTTTCTTTTTTTATGTGTATAAATTATGTATATGATTTATATGTAACATATGCCAAAATTCAGAATTATCAACCATAAGTAGATATATAGTTGCATCAGATGTATCAGTTTAATCTTCATTATCCAGTTCAGAATATGCAATAATGATGCTTCATGATAATGTGCAATATAGTAGTTTTTAATTGTAAATGGAATATAAGCTTGGTATCACATATGAAAACTATTTTCTTAAGTTGCTTTGCACGCTTCGCTAAAAATTGTGTAAGAAATAAGTGATTACATCATTGGGTCAAATTTGCTGTAATTTACAAATAAGCCAGTATTTACAATACAAGGTAAGTTGATTTAAATGTTCTCATTGTAATTAACAATAAAATCAAACTGAAGCATAAAGAGGAAGTGAATATTAAACTTAAGAAGTCAAACAAGTGGCATATATTGCAGTACCAGATAGAGTGTGGAGCATAAATGAATTGACAGAAGAGGAATTACGCAATTTGCACTTTGAGCTTGATTATGAGCACAAAGAGGAACGATGGTGGGAACAGGAACCATTAAGAGCCTTAGATCTGAGCTCCAACAGTTTGACTGCCATTGATAACAGAATGCGATTTCTGACGGGTCTCAATACATTGGATGTGCGTATAATAATATCAATAGCATCTCTCTCTTATTAACAATGTTAATGGCATTCCCTTAGCTGCATAATAATGTCTTGGAGGAGCTACCAGTGGCAATTGGATCTTTGCGTGAACTGAAAGTGTTAAATTTATCGGACAATAAACTGGAATGCTTACCTGCGCAATTTTACACATTGGAGGAACTGTGCGAGTTGTATCTGAAAAATAATTATATCAATATGTTGGAACCGGAGATTGGAAATCTGATTATGTTAACTCATTTGGTAATAATATATGTTATAATACTTTACGAATTGTCTATTGCTCCAATCTCTTGAATAGATAAGTTTATAATATCTTTTACTTTATAGGATTTATCATACAATAATTTGAGCGATTTGCCAATCGGAATGGGATATATGGTACGATTAGTCACGTTAAATTTGTGTCACAATATGATTAAAGAATTACCACCGGATATGACAAATATGAGAAGTAAGTTTCGTATGTCTACATGTTGATGACTGGTACTTAATAAGAATCTTCTATATCTTTTTAATGTTTTCTCATTATTTGGTATTATTATTACGTTTCTCTCTCTCTCTCCCCCTCTCTCCCTCTCTCTCTCTCTCCCCCTCTCTCTCCCTCTCTCTCTCTCTCTCCTCTCTCTCTCTCTCTCTCAATACACGAACAGCACTAAAGACATTAGACGCCAGCTTTAACAAGCTGGAGATACTACCGTCGTTGGGTGAATTACGAAAAGTAGAGAGAATGATGCTCCACTCGAACAATTTGAAGGAATTCCCGGACATATCAGGTTGTTCTGCTTTGACAGTCTTGCATTTGGATAACAATAACATTTCTGTATGTGTTAATGTGTTAATTTACACACAAAACGATCGCGACTGATGATCCGATCGTTAAGAAAAAGTTCTCGTTTCATTGAGTATTCTGTGATTTTTTGTCCTGCAGGAGATCGTGCCGGAGTACTTGGATGGAGTCGGTAATCTAACGAAGTTCACTTTGCAAAACAATCAAATTGAAATGATACCCGAGGAAATAATCAAACTGATCAACCTGCAAGTTTTTGATCTGTCGCATAATAATATATCCTTGTACGTCGTAAACTCTCCCCCACTCTCTCTTTCTCACATTACGTTATTATTTTATTGATCATCCATTGCACCAGATCCCTCTTGCAGGATACCCTTTTGCATCGGTATCTTACCAAACTTGAAGCAGTTTATAATTAAGGGAAATAACATAAAGAATATAAGAGGAGATATCATAAGATGTGGTACACCGCGTATTTTGGCTCACATACGCCAAACCACGGACAGTACAAATGTAAATACTAAAGTATTATTACCATGTGCCAGTGTTAGCAAATTTCCAGACAAGTATGTAAATATTGACAACAAATTATCCTATTTTCGATTACCGATAAAATCTGATACTAATATTTATTATTTTTAATAATTCAGATATATGATGAAGAATACAAAACTGCTCAGTTTATCTGGGCAGAATCTTCTGGAATTCCCGGAAGAGGTTTTGATAGACGCAGTGGAAGCCGCAGTTACGGTTGTTGATTTGAGTAGGAACAAACTGTCAGAGCTACTTGTTGAAATGGCTCAGCTTGTTACAGTGACAGATTTAAAGTTAACTTCAAATCTCTTGACACATCTGCCAGAGTGGATAGGTGAAAAGTACAAATACCTGCAGGCCTTAGACATAAGTAAAAACTACTTGGAATCTTTACCTTTAAGTATTGGTTGCCTGAAATACTTGCGAGATATCGATCTTTCGTTTAACAGGTATATGAGTATATTTCATTTGTGTAATTCCTGATTATTTATGATATTTTTTTCTTCATTATACCTGCCTCTGTATGATATTTTTCACAGATTTATAGAATTGCCAGAAGCAATTTATAATGTTATGTCTTTGGAAAGTTTAATTGCTAATGATAATCTAATTGGTGAAATTAACGTATCGTCTTTAGGAAAGCTTAAAAAGTTAGCAATTTTAAATCTGGCGAATAATAATATTGCTCATGTGCCACCTGAACTTGGTAACTTGAAAAATTTGAGGTAAATAATTCTCACAGGTATATTTTATATCATTTTTATGTTCGTTAACTTTAATGCTTAAATATTACATTGAAATATTTTTATAGAAATTTATCATTATCAGGAAATTGTTTCAAATATCCTAGACAAGCAATTTTAATGAAAGATACGGAAGAAATACTGAGGTACCTGCGTAATTTAATACCTCGATAATAAACAAGTCAGTATAGAATATAAGTACAAATATTCATATTACTAGATATTTAAAGAATGTTACAATTTAAAATTGTGTGCGAGTGCATGCACGTGAGAGAAATTATATGTATAAAATATATATGTATTCATATACGTACATTCTAAAAAAATACCCAGAATTTGTCATTTAAAAGTCCCACGATAAAGGTATCAGAGAGAAGAAGGAGAGGTGTCACGGGCCGCTTTTAGCTGTGCCCAATGTGAGGCGCCCTCTGCACAACTGTGCACATGAACTACGATGCGAATGTCCACGACTCTTTTCAGATTTCTCCCACTACGCCATAGTTCAGCCGGTTCAGTCTATCCACAGAGAGAAACCTGAGAGCGGCTACGGCCGCGTTTTGCTTGAGGCGCTTTTTCGCGACTGTTTGATACCGCCCTCTGCATCCATTTTTAGCCGGGAACTATTTGCTGCATCCATTTTCTGGCGCGCCGGTGAAGTCTTCACTTGGTGCGAGTCCGTGCTACGTCCACTTTCAGTCGCACGGCAGCGATGGAAAATCGGTGACGGACTTGCCAGCGAATTCCCCCACCACGCACGCACTCACAGCCGACTCGATCTATCTGTGTCGGCCACGCGCTCGGCAATCGTCGGCGCGCCGAGCGAGAGAGAGAATATCATTCCCTCTTTCTCGCTCTCATGTTCGCTCGGCGACACGAGCGAGAATATCTTTCCCTCTTTCTCGCTCTCGTTCTCGCTCAGCGACGCGAATTAGGCTGATTCTTTTTCGGCTATAATCTGAGTCGCGGGCGCGACTATGACGATACTGAGAAGTTTTTCCTATTCGGCGCGCCGAAATTATTATGAATATTATTTTATTATTAATAATATTATTGTTTATAATAATAATAATAATATTCCGCGCCGAGAAAATGAAATATATTTCATTAATTGTTTTGCTGAGACGGACAGGTTCATAGATTTGATTATTGTTGGGAATTGTTTAATAATATTTGAAGAATAATTTTAAATTGTACAAAGATGTAGAATAAAATATTATAAAAGTATTATAACAAAGTCAAGAAGGTACGAAATGAAACCTTCTTGCTTTCATTACAATATCCTCTGAATTAACAAATACTCTTCAAACAGTATTAAACAATCCTCAAAAACAATTACATTCGTGAAATCTTCTCTTTGTGCGAAAAAAATTCATAAAATACGTCTGTTTCGCCGCGCTGAATAAGAAAATCCTCAGAACAATGTTATATTTAAAATGATGTACAGTGCATTAATAAATATGCAGTCTAGTAAAATGGTAATTTATTTGCCTATTATAATATCTTCGAATGTATTCACTTGTTTGCGAAACGGTTTTCCCATGTATTTTCGATGCAGTGTCGAACAGCACAACTGTTAATCCAATGAATCTGTTTAAAAGAAATAAGTGGACCATTCCAAATAAGTGGCAGCGCTCTGAGTTCAGTGTTCAGTGCACCAGTCAATAAAAATGTAATAATACTATGTTTGTATTTAAATGACACAAAGTTTAACGAATTGTTTGTGAAAAATCACCGTAAATAGATGAAAAACTAAAGTGTACAGTTATAGCATACAGTTTAGGAAACCCACTCTTTGCCAGCAACGTGGATAGAATCAAGTTAGAAAAAGAATAAACATTCTTCTTGCGATAATACCAAAGTATGAAGCAAATGTATTATGCATGTAGTACTGCAGTGGTATTGTGCATGAATGCATGAAGAATGAAAAACTATTAATTATTAGTAATTATTAGTAATTAAGTAAGTAATCAGTGTTTAAAAACATGTACTGTGTCGTGTATATTAATGGTTTTAATAAAAAAGAATATGTAAATCCACATTACTGCTCGATGGAAACCGCGAGAAGGTGGTGGTTTCTTCCATCAGGAGGAAATGATAAACAAATAAGTCGAATAAGTCACTTATGAAATGGAATTATTTGACATTGGTTTATATTTCCTAAGGAATGGTAGGATGTAAGGAAAGGAAGAAGCAAACATAAAGGGAATAGTAATGTCATGCAAGCGTCATGCAGACAAAACATACAAACAAAGAAAATGCGATATTAAAATACACAAAAGATATTACAGCTACTGTATTTACAGTTGCAATAATGCATGCATTTGCACAATGTTTTTATGAAAAGTCTTTCACACAGTGGAAAGCGAGATTTAACGCGTAAATCTGCCTTTCTCTGCCAATACCAAGTATCTGTGACATATCATCTATTTTAGAATTTTACATTCAATCGTGTAAATACTATATAACACATGGTGTTATGTAGCATTTACATAAATCAGAGTGACATTCTAACATAGATGGTATGTAAATGATACTTGTGGTTTATTGTGTTAACTCGCACAAATGGGATGTGTAAATAATAACACCCAAAACTAGACATAGAATGGGAGAACGAAATCTTCACAGACAAACTTTGGTGAATACGTATCAGGATATTTTAAAGGATTTGTCCAGGCGACGTTGTTCTGCGTCATTTATTCCCAGTTCAGTCTTCTAGTGCAACTTCACGCGAAGCAGCGCTCACGTTTTAACAGAATGCATCCTATACCCGGAAGTATCTCCCTAATACTATGTGCGATTTCTCAGTACAACTGTACGAGTCCCGAAAACAATATTTCTCAGTGATGCAAAATTACATTGATCTTTGCATTCAAAACCACGCTTCATAATGTACTATAAATGTTACCACTCGTGTTTAACTTCGCGTATATGTTACAAGTATCACCACTCACGTTTTATATATTCGTTATATTAAATTTGAATTGATGAAAGACTGACAAGTGTGTGTATTACGGTGTAAGCCGTTCAAGCTCTAGACGAGGGCGGTCCGATAAGTACTTAGCCTCACCGCCCGATGGCGCCACTATCGCAAGAGAAATTTACTACACTACGTGTAGTACAGTGCCCGGAATTACTTGCACGATCGGGCCGATTTCTGAGAGCTACGCCTCCTTACTTCCCCTTACCGCTCCAGCCCGCACGGCGGATCTAGAAACTGACAGTCGCGAGGCGCTGTCTCAGGCACGTCACATGAGACAGTCACATGAGACGCTTCACAGTTTAACATAGCTGAAACAAATTTATTTATTAAAACAACTCCATAGGCATTTTTTATAGTTTACTAATATAATATAGTCTTAATATTAATATAAATATATATTAATAGAAATATTAATATAAGTAATATTCTTAATATAACTATAATATACAGTATTAATGTATTAATATTATTATAAGTACAAAGTATAGGTTTTCTATATTATAAAAAAACAATAGGTTTCCACGTCACCCATGAGGTACTATTGCCAACGCGTTTTTTTTTAAGTGGTATCCCCTGTAGGCCTATTCCACTGAAGAAGAAAAATAATTTTGATCGAGAAAGAGAAATTGAAAAGAAGACGAATGTATCAAACCGATTTCCTAATCCTTTTGTGCGACTGAATAAGCGACGAGATATCTACATTAATATTAGAGGTGCTTGTTTGCATCAATGAGGATAAGGATGCATCATTTAAAGAAGAACGTTTATCTGTTTTTATATATTTCATCTTAGAAAAGGAGCACTCACATAAATATGTAGAACCAAACATAGAAGAAATATGAAGTGCAAAATTTATGAGATTGGGATAAGAACATGGCTTTAAAATTTTAAAAAATTCTATTCCACTTTCCGGTCGCGCTTTCAGAGAAATATCTGTTTGTAAACGGCACAGTTCTTCCTGAAATTCTAACTTCTGATCTTCAATATGAACAGTGCGAGGATTTTCAAAAAGAATTAAATCATCCCGAAATATTGTAATATCCGCAAAACGCGTTTCAAATTCATTTATTAAGGAGTTAAGAAAATCAGAGTATGTTGTTTGAAGTTAATTGAAATGTCATATTCCTTTGCAAGAATTTGACAACTAGGAAGAAAGTGGAAAACTTCTTGTACTAAATGATTTTTTAATATTATTAATTTTCTCTGAAAGGAGTCTATAGTACTAACTAATTGAGAAATATTTTGATTAGCCTCTTGCAGCTTCAAATTTAACGAATTTAGATGATTTGTTAAATCTGTTATGATTGCGAGTTCGGAAAGTGACTCTACGTCGGAGAGAAAAGCTTTGAATTCTTCGCATTTCGAAGTAGATTGTTCTTGCAAGAAAAGAAAGATTTCTTTTCTTATCGCAAAGAACTTCTCTAAACATTTACCAGCACTAAGCCAACGGACTTCACAATATAGTGGCACGTTCGTATAGGCAGCGTTATGATCTGCGAGAAATTGCTGAAATTTTCGGTGACACAGGAATTTGTGACCACCTTTAATGAAATTAATGATTTTTGTTCATAAACTAATTTCAAATCTTCGATTAAATTATATTTTTCAATACCAACATATTGCGCGTATTCATTAAAATGTTTAGTTTTATAATGCCTTTGTATTACATAATGTTTGATAAATGAAGGTTTAAAGCCACATAAAAGACACTGTTTCTCCGGATATTAAGGCGAAGCAATCCTGCTCCCATACCTTACACCTGAAGTGTCTAGACCGGACAAGCGTGAGTTCGGATAAATGCACGAGTCATTCGTTTGTTAAACGTTCGCATGCGAAGCTTGCATAGTGATCGCTCTAACGCTCTGTGATATATCAGGACTTCTTCGTGTTTTTCATCATCTAGTAATTCTTTAGAAGGATGAGCAATAATAAAAAATATGGGCAACACTTTTGTAAGGTATGGGAGCAGGATTGCTTCGCCTTAATATCCGGAGAAACAGTGTCTTTTATGTGGCTTTAAACCTTCATTTATCAAACATTATGTAATACAAAGGCATTATAAAACTAAACATTTTAATGAATACGCGCAATATGTTGGTATTGAAAAATATAATTTAATCGAAGATTTGAAATTAGTTTATGAACAAAAATCATTAATTTCATTAAAGGTGGTCACAAATTCCTGTGTCACCGAAAATTTCAGCAATTTCTCGCAGATCATAACGCTGCCTATACGGACGTGCCACTATATTGTGAAGTCCGTTGGCTTAGTGCTGGTAAATGTTTAGAGAAGTTCTTTGCGATAAGAAAAGAAATCTTTCTTTTCTTGCAAGAACAATCTACTTCGAAATGCGAAGAATTCAAAGCTTTTCTCTCCGACGTAGAGTCACTTTCCGAACTCGCAATCATAACAGATTTAACAAATCATCTAAATTCGTTAAATTTGAAGCTGCAAGAGGCTAATCAAAATATTTCTCAATTAGTTAGTACTATAGACTCCTTTCAGAGAAAATTAATAATATTAAAAAATCATTTAGTACAAGAAGTTTTCCACTTTCTTCCTAGTTGTCAAATTCTTGCAAAGGAATATGACATTTCAATTAACTTCAAACAACATACTCTGATTTTCTTAACTCCTTAATAAATGAATTTGAAACGCGTTTTGCGGATATTACAATACTTCGGGATGATTTAATTCTTTTTGAAAATCCTCGCACTGTTCATATTGAAGATCAGAAGTTAGAATTTCAGGAAGAACTGTGCCGTTTACAAACAGATATTTCTCTGAAAGCGCGACCGGAAAGTGGAATAGAATTTTTTAAAATTTTAAAGCCATGTTCTTATCCCAATCTCATAAATTTTGCACTTCATATTTCTTCTATGTTTGGTTCTACATATTTATGTGAGTGCTCCTTTTCTAAGATGAAATATATAAAAACAGATAAACGTTCTTCTTTAAATGATGCATCCTTATCCTCATTGATGCAAACAAGCACCTCTAATATTAATGTAGATATCTCGTCGCTTATTCAGTCGCACAAAAGGATTAGGAAATCGGTTTGATACATTCGTCTTCTTTTCAATTTCTCTTTCTCGATCAAAATTATTTTTCTTCTTCAGTGGAATAGGCCTACAGGGGATACCACTTAAAAAAAAACGCGTTGGCAATAGTACCTCATGGGTGACGTGGAAACCTATTGTTTTTTTATAATATAGAAAACCTATACTTTGTACTTATAATAATATTAATACATTAATACTGTATATTATAGTTATATTAAGAATATTACTTATATTAATATTTCTATTAATATATATTTATATTAATATTAAGACTATATTATATTAGTAAACTATAAAAAATGCCTATGGAGTTGTTTTAATAAATAAATTTGTTTCAGCTATGTTAAACTGTGAAGCGTCTCATGTGACTGTCTCATGTGACGTGCCTGAGACAGCGCCTCGCGACTGTCAGTTTCTAGATCCGCCGTGCGGGCTGGAGCGGTAAGGGGAAGTAAGGAGGCGTAGCTCTCAGAAATCGGCCCGATCGTGCAAGTAATTCCGGGCACTGCTCTAAAAGATCAGGAAGGCATGCTTTCAGGTGAAGAAGAAAATGAAACCGGAGGAAAGATGTGACGTCCTTAGCAAAACGCGGGATAGGTAGCATCTGAAGGGAATATTTAATAAGTTATTTATAAGTTATTAATAAGTTTAATACAAATATTAATTTTCGGCGATATTATTATAAACTTTGTTATTATGCTGTTATTGCTTGCTAAATATTACATTATGCGCGAATATATTTTTTTTATAAATTTTTGTAGTGTGAATAGGTGTGCATGATGTATGGTAGTTTTGTGCATCAAATTTTTTTAAGTGCACCAAGTACACTGCGAAAGTATTGTTGACAATCCGTATAAATGACTCGAACTGCGATGCTTCTCCAATTATTCATCTTGGCGCGCACTCACTCATCAGATTTCTATCATTAATAACTCGATAATTATTGCGAATATCGCAAAATGGTATGGGACTTTTATGTTTGTTTTAATCCGTTCTATATCTCCACGAATTATTCATACTAAATTATGGGACCCCCTGTATATTAATATATTGGGTTGAATAAAAACCAATTTCGTATTTTACATGCAAATGGCGTTAAGACGAAGTGTTTAGCGCAATCTTCACTCAATATCTGATATATATTTTTATGAAAGATTAGATTTTCCTGCATATTTTAAACTGTTATTTATCAAAATCTATTCAATAATTTTTATTTGACGACATTATAAACATGGAGCAAAACAAGCAGTATTTTCGGTATTTGATGGTTTTCTATTTTCGCAAAGGGAAAAGTGCGATGTAAACTAAGAAAAAAAGATGTACTGTGTATGGAAAAGATTCCATAAGCTAGAGCTGGACACGATCTGCACATTTCGGATTTATGTGTTATATATGTATGTGTGTATGCGTATATATATATATATATATATATATATATATATAAATATATGCATGTATTAAACATGTAAACATATATATTTTAAAGTGATTATTAAACTAGGAAACAATTTTAATGAGAATGTGACGCCGCAGCTGATTTCTTATACAGCGACGGGCCTGAGTTCAGCTGTGTGAAGTTGACCCCCCGACTACGAAAAATTTTATTTTGACCATTGCCATTCGTTTGGTGGTCGTTTGGTAGCGTTTGATAGTCTATTCCTAACGTTTGGTAGTCAAAAGTGTAATAGTTATCGCAAAAAATAAAAATTGTATGTGAAGTTGGCCCCCCGTCTCGAAAATCGGTTTCCACGGTATCCTGGATAATTTTGACCATTACCAATCGTTTGGTGGTCGTTTGGTAACGTTTGGTAGTCAAAAATGCAATAGTTCTCGCAAAAAATAAAAATTGTATGTGAAGATGACCCCTCCCCGTCTCGAAAATCGGTTTCCATGGTGTCCTGGATAATTTTGACCATTACCAATCGTTTGGTGGTCGTTTGGTAGCGTTTGGTAGTCCATTCCCAACGTTTGGTAGTCAAAAGTGCGATAGTTCTCGCTCAAAATTATAATGTGAAGTTGGCCCCCAGGCTCAGAAATCGGTTTCCACGGTGTCCTGGATAATTTTGACCATTACCAATCGTTTGGTGATTGTTTGGTAGCGGTTGGTAGTCCATTCCCAATGTTTGTTAGTCAAAATTGTTTTCGTTATTAGTAAAAGTCGAGTTTGCATTTATGAAGCTGGCTTTCTAAATTTAAAAAATGTTACGCAACATTCCCTAGTCGCGATATTCTATGTAATGTTCATTGTGACAAATTTTTTGGTGGTCGTATTTTTATGGTTGGTAGTCAATTCCTGACGTTTCATAGAAAATAATAATTATTAATGAAAATCGAATTTGCGAGTGTTAGATGGCCTGCCAATTTTAAAGAAGCACTTTCCGCGGCATCCTTTCATAATTTATATAATTTTCATTATAATCATTTGTTTAATGCAAAGTTACTAAACTATAAAGATTTGCTTATTGGCGAATTTCTGGGCGGAAGACGCATCGACAACAAAAGGTATTGACATCATCATGAATCCCAGTGGCGTCTATTTAGCGTTTTAGGTGGTTTTCATTGACAATATGTGATATGTAAAATCGAATTTAAGCGTCAGTTTGATTATAAACATCAATTATCGAGGTACGTAATAAACATAACTTATATAAAAAATATTTTCTTTGGAACTAACAAACTAAAATGCCGCTACCACGATTATATAATATAATAACCACACGTTAAGTGCGTTAGAATTCTCTGTGACGTGACAAAAGAGTGGGAATAAGTAAATCTTTATAGTTTAGTAATTTTGGTTTAATGGAAGCTATTTTATGTTTATTTCATCACGAACGATAATCGAAATTGTAGTTGTAAAGAAAATAGGATATAGAATGATATGATGATAAATTTGCTGCCCTGTGTGTGAAAAAAGTTTTCTACTGTATATAATTATACCTAATTGTAACATAGAATAACGGTGGAAATTGTGTATATTTTTTATATATCTTTATTTTTAGTACATACATATATGGCCGCATGTGGTTCTATCTCATTATTTTTGTTACATTTTAATATTGATGGTGATATATCATTATATTTCTCCCAGGACCCATTAACTTTTTTGCCGTATGCTATATAATGATTCCTTATATATTCGATTATTCCGGCTAATCTGAAAGTTTAATACATTTTTAAACAAAATCAAATGATGTGGTGTAAATAATTCAACAGAATTTATCTTTATTTATTATATTATTTTTCAATAGTCAAAAAAACTGGTTGATGTGTAATTTCGGAGTTCGGGTTTCTGGCTCTACGTATGAAAATACTATAACTATAATACTATAACTATAATACTAAAACTATAATAAGAAACACGTCATAACTACGTGACAAATTAACTGTAAACTAGTGTAATTTTGATTTAAAAGTTTTAATAATTATCATATATTACCTGTATTCTTGTTTTAAAATATTTATTGTTGGTGAAATATCATTTAATTTGCATCTCATTCTTCTTTTTTCAGTCAAAGATCCTTTAATGTCAAGTTCAATATATACATGCGATTTAACTTCAGTATAATTTGTACGACGTCCAGTACATTCAGAATGTTGACATTTAATGTTCTTTATAAAAAAATTATATTGAACCGTTTCTTCTATGCATCCAAATCCTTTTTGTTGTATTGTATGATGATTTACACCGAGAACATAGACAGGACGAATCTCCTTTTGACACTCAAGTGAAGAACATTCCGATATTATGTTAGCACATGGCTCGTCTTTTGTGAGAGATGCCCACATTGTACTTATATTACCATATGTATTTATTGTGCGTATACCAACATGTTTTGCTTCGTGTATATCAGAATTAAAAATATCATTTGTCAAGGTGATTCGCTCTTTATATATAGAGTTATTTACACCAGTTTTTAAAATTAAATGACAGAATTTAAAAAATCTATTTGAATTACTTATGTAATTTAAATAACTTGTATCTTCTAAGGCAATAAGTAAAATAATTTGTGTGATGGAATCGAAAGGACAAGTATTCTGAATTTGATACGTTATTCCGTTTACAGTTAATGGTTGTAATAAGTTACCATTTCGAAGAAGAAATTTCTTTGTTGCCATTTTAGGTTTACTATTTTTAATTTGTCTTATTTCTGGATATGGTTTAAAATATTTTGTTTTAATATTTGTACGATTGTCGATCGTTTTCACATTTCGCTTAGTCAGTGATGTGCAATTTTCATCGTTTTCATCTTGCTGCAATGAATTTTGCGTCTTACCTCGGTTCATCCAGTTTTCAAATTCATGTATATCTTTGTTATCTTGAATGTTTTTATTATTGTTACTATATAGTTAGTATTTATGTATTCGGTATTGTTCATATTTGAGGTTATAATAGCTGCAGATGCTAATTTGACAGTAGCATCGATAGATTGTATATGCATTTTCAGAAATTTATCTGCACGCATGGGAGTTTGTACGTTTTTAAAAATATATTCGCGTAAATCTTTGAAATAAGTTTCACAATGTGCAGATGTTGCACGGACAAATTCCGATTTAAATATAGAAGCTAAAACTGCAGTCCATAAGGGAAATTCTAAACATAATTTAGTTAATAGTTTATAAAATTCTGGCAAATAGAATGCATTTAAACGAGAAGCCTTTTGGTCACTATCTATTTCTGCTTGTATTTTTAAATTTTCAATCCATTGAAAAATTTCGTCATTATAAACTTTATCTTTATTTATGTCCATAATAACATTGTTATATTCATTATTTTAATTATATTCTTCATTATTTTCTTTATTATATTCTTCATTATTATCTATCAAATAGGCATTAAATCTGTATGATAAATTTCGGACGCAATATGATTTTCTAATTCATTTCTAGCCTTTTCCGCAGATGATGGTAGTCCTGTATCATAATACTCTTCATATTGTTGAATATTGACAGTTAATGTAAATAACAAAATTGATTCAAAATTTTTGAACGACTGGCAGTTTATCATAAGTGCAATATACCGCACAAAAAATGATTTTATATCAGGATGTTTTTTATCAAAACATTTCCATCGGCAAATAAATTTTATCAAATGTGCCACGTCAACCCTAACATATGTATCTGCTGGTTTACAATCTTTCATGAAATTGCTACATTTAATTGCGGAAAAACAAGACAAAATATATTCTTTAATAGTCATTTTATTAAAAGATGATGTCATTGCACCTAAAAGAGCTCTTGAATAATCCGAAACTGCTTCTTCTGGTTTAATTGCACCCATACGTAACCATTCCTTAATCCAATATTCAATCGTATTGGTATCGTGCTTTTCCGATATCATTTGATGGACTGGTACAATCTTTCCATCAATATTTATTACAATAACATATAAGAAAATATGTCCACTTTTTAATCCATCATCTATACATATTTTTGAGACTATACTTCCTGTTGCATCCATAGATATTTTTCGACATGTTTTTTTTCTTCGGCAATATTCTCTGTATATATGCATTTGCATATATACAGAGGAGTTCTATAATGCACACTAACTTTATTCAAAGAAATTTCGTGTATGCTACCACAATATTCAGAAGAATGTTTCATTTTTCTTATAGTATAAATAGGATCATTTCCATCTTTTGTGTTAACACCTAAAGTTTTGTCATTATATTCCTGTTTTAATTTACGTAATACAGTCGATTTATACAAATTAGGAGGCTCGACATCACCATGCTTCATTTTCTCTGTAGCTATTTTTCTTTGCCAATTTGATATTCCATTATCTGTCAAGGCTTTACCAACAACTTGCCTTTTCCTAAATCGAAGCTGTCGTTTTATGTTCTCATGCGGAATTGTTGAAGTATCTTTTGTAATACAATGCAAAGTTAAATTTTCTCCCATTTTTGGTTCTGTGTCGGCGTAAGCAGTAAATGAAGATGCACATGCTTTACTTTTACATTTTCCTTTTATAACAATAAAATGCGAACGATTATCAGAAAAATAAACTTTTGCTCTTTTAAAAATATATGCACACGGTAATCTAAATTGACGCCAAAATTCATCGTTTATAACATCACTCCAAGCACCAGACTTAAGACAACCATAAACTTTATCTTTATATTCGATAAATTCGGGTTTAATTTCCGTCCAAATATCATGCGAAATGTAAAGAATAAAAGTGCTATTATTTTCATTATCATTTGTAAGAGATGTATTAACCGTAGTGTTACTTTGTTCCTGACTAACAATACTTTGTTCGTTGCTACTATTTAAAAATAATGTATCATTATTAATTTCAATATTTAAATTAGTTTTCATTTTGGTAAATATATTGCGCCTGTTTTCACGCACATTTATATATACACTATGTACATTCCACTTATTGCTTAAAGCGTTACTAATATTTTGCCAAACTTGTGCAGTATATGGTGGTAATATCTTATTTTTTAAAAGAATATCCTTATACATTGTAAGAGCTGCTACTGCTTCTTCTATTGATACAATTGATATACGTGACATCTGCAAAAAAATGTTTAATTTCCTACAGAAATTGATTGATTTTTCGATTATAGTGTTTGGAATTACTTGTAATTGTTCTATCGTTATAGTATAATAATATAAATGTTTTGATAGTACAAAGAAATAACATATATAGACAACTAGTTTTAATAAAAACTTTAGAGATATTAGGGATTTTTACAGTCTATCTCACAGATTTTAATAAGAAGAATTTTAACTGTTTTGGGATCCAACATGCGGACTGTTTTCGCGGAGATAAACAGGTCAGCAAAAATGACAAAAGAAGGCACAGCTTTAGAAAATCATTTCAGATCGCAAATAATTCAGGTTGCAAATAATTATCGGAGAGTATTGCTTTAACAGAAAAATTGACAGTGCATGATAGTGTAAGTAGTCATTAAAGGATGTAATATTTAGGAGTTATCTCAGACAGCACATAATCTCCAAGGAATGTTTTGGAAATATTCTTAGGTAGTTGGACATCCTCAGGACATTTTTAGAACGTTACTATTTATTTAAAAACAGTTGATATTTAGGCTAATTAGAATGTGACGTATGTAGTAGCGTGAACGTAAAGTAAGGCTAAGAAAAACGTAAGTCGTAAAAGGCTATGGGTATAGAATCTATAGTCTTTCACGACTCTATACTGTATGCAAATATGTTTTTTATAAAATATGTTTTTTATCTGTTTTAACCCTGCTTATAAAGTTTGATAAGAAATGATAAAAAATGAACTATATAAAAACACAATAGGATATGATAAAATAAATCATCCTATCATATCCTATCATGTTTTTGACTCGTTTTCTATCATTTCCTATCGGATCTTTTAAGCAGGGAAGTGCGTACATAAACGAACGTAAACGGTAAGACAAAAACAGCGAGAAAATTGACACAGTTAATAATTTCTTGACAGTAAGGAGGATAATCGCTTATGATTTATCGAATTAATCTAATCCTAATATTAAAAAACCATATTACTCTAGATAATAATATAACATAAAAGACATATTAAAGAGACAAACAGACTTTATATATTTTTAAGATATCATTTAGTCACTCTCGCAGTTTAAAATATGATTAAGACATTTCTTTGCAACAAAAGTGACTAAAAATTAGCCTAACTACTTTCAAAATATGCATAACCATCCCATAATGAGATATAAATTGGATCCGACTTTAACTATATTTTTATGCTTGTGTGCACATGTTAGGAAAGTATAATAATGTATAATTTTGAGAAACTTTTTATGATTCACATACCAGTATATTTGCCTAAATATTTCATGAAATTACACCGCATTAAAAAAAGCGAATATGCACCAATATCAGAATAGTCGGATACAATCTATACATATCTTATAGGAAGATTAAGAAAGTAAGATATCTCTTATAAAATATCATATCGTAAGACGACTTTTAGAAACTTTTATTCCTGAAACTACTTACCTTTTTTTCTCAGAGATTATCAACAAATAGTTTCTAATAAATATTTAGTTAGCATGTATGTGTAGGATACGCAGTCCTGTACTCGATAATTATTCCGTGGAGAATAAAAAACTCACGTCTACTTTCAATATATCTTTTATTTTGGCTAGCTCACAGATTTTTATTCGTATGTGACTCGCAGGACTACCGAATCGAGAATAAGTCTGGTCGCCACCCACAGTTTTAGATTCGAGCGGTTAGCTTTTTGATGTCGTAAACAAGGGGAGCCGCTGAACTCCTCAAATCCGCGGTAACGCGTATGCGCGGCGGCAACTCGACTGGCGGAAAGATCATACGCTCGCGGCGCCTATTGTCGAAAGAGTTCAATCATTATCTGATCTCCGACTTGAACGCAGTTTTACATCATCAAATCTCCGAACCTAACTTAATCCCACATATGTATATATGTATTAAAGCTTGGCATAATATATATAGATATATATTATTCATATAATTGCACACAATCAACAAAATCATATATACGACACATAAGTTAAATTGCTCCACATAAAATCTCATTAATATAACCTTATTTTGTTACTTAAAGTACAAGTTAATTAATGATGTGCTGGATAATACTAACGACAAACGACTCTTATCATACTTTGCACTAGTGATGCTAAAAACGGGAAAACCACGTGCCAAAAAAATGCCAAAAAAAGAAAACGGTTTTCAACTTAGGAAATATAATCGGTTATCAGAAAATAATTCAAGAGCAATAACAATACAATATAGATACTATACATAGTCGGCTGCACTAAACGGTTTCTTTTTATACGGATATATACGAGTGCAGAACAGTGTAGCTAAATTAGAGATTACCAGCGTGACTTAAAATTTTTGAATGTAAAGTCTCTCAGGATAATATGGAAATGCTAAACTTTGGGAAATTATCACGGTACTATTTTATGAAATTTTCAAAATTTGTTAATAGTATAATATATTTTGAATCTTTAATAATTAAAAAAAAATTAATGAGACAACACAATTCAAATCATAAAAAATTACTAATTACATTTTATTTGGCCCTGTTTAAAATTAAATTTTTAAAATTTTAATAATCAATGTGAGGTTTTAATGAGAATTACAAAAGTTGACGACAAAAAAATTATTTCTACTTATTAAACAGTTAAACGATTACTAAACAATTAGTAATGGTCAAAATTATCCAAGATACTGTGGAAACCGATTTTCGAGCCTGGGGGGACAACTTCACATTATAATTTTGTGCGAGAACTATTGCAGTTTTGACTACCAAACGTTGGGAATGCACTATCAAACGCTACCAAACGACCACCAAACGATTGGTAATGGTCAAAATTATCCAGGACACCGTGGAAACCGATTTTCGAGACGGGGAGGAGCCAACTTCACATACAATTTTTATTTTTTGCGAGAACTACTGCACTTTTGATTACCAAACGTTAGGAATGAACTACCAAATGCTATCAAACGACCACCAAACGATTGGTAATAGTCAAAATTATCCAGGACACCGTGGAAACCGATTTTCGAGACGGGGAGGGGTCATCTTCACATACAATTTTTATTTTTTGCAATAACTATTACACTTTTGACTACCAAACGTTAGGAATAGACTATCAAACGCTACCAAACGACCACCAAACGAATGGCAATGGTCAAAATAAAATTTTTCGTGGTCGAGGGGTCAACTTCACACAGCTCCTGAGTTCACCACGATCATCGCCCCGGCCGCGAGCGCGGAGCGGTGCGAGGGGGACGATAGGCGTCACCTATTAAATTTCGCTCAAAATGTGCAGATCGTGTCCAGCTCTGCCGTAAACGAACGTGCCAAAACTGGTTTGCGAAATTTCGTGCTGGTGATACATGTCAAGATGGTGAGCGCTCAGGTTATTTGGTGGTTGACGACCAAATCAAGACATTGATTGAAAATAATCCACATACGACACGAGAGATCGCAGAAGTAATCAATGTATCTCAAGAGACCGTTGAGAATCACTTACTTACGCTTGGCTACGTACGATATTTGGGTATCTCATAATTTGAACGAAGATTTTAATGGACCACATTTCCACCTGTGATTTATTGCTCGCAATGAAAACGTTCCATTTTTAAAACGAATGATAACGAGCGACGAAAAGTGGATTATACATAACAATATACAGCGTAAAAGATCGTAGGGAAAATGAAATGAACCACTGCAAACACCGAAGCAAAACATCCATACGAAAAAAGTCATGCTGATGGGATTAGAAAGGAATCGTGTACTGCGAGCTAATTCCGCAAGCAATTGTTTCCAATAAGTATTGTCGCCAATTGGACTGTTTGAAGGCAGCAATCGATGAGAAATGTCCAAAATTGAACAATCGTTATGATGCCATATTCCGCCAAGTAACGCTAGACCTCACATATTTTTCACAATCTCCAAAAATTATTAGTTTGACTGGGATATTTTACTTCATCCTTCGTATTCACCTGACTTGACATCAGACTTCCACTTATTCAGGTCTCTACAGAATTCCCTCAATCAAAAAAATTTCATTTCTTTCAGAGGTCTGCAGAAAGCATTTTTAGCAGATTTCGCCCAGAAAATTAGGAAGTTCTGAGAAGATAGAATCTTTAATTTGCCCGAAAAATGACGAAAGATTATTGAAAAACGGTGCATATATCGTTCATTATTTTTTTAATATGAAAATATTGTCTTTAAATTTCACCTAAAAATACAAAATTAATTTTATTCAACCCAATATATGTATAGAATGCCCCATAACTCAGTACGAGGAATTCATGGAGAATGAATTCATAGAACGAATGAAGACAAAATAAAAGTCCCATACCGTTTTGCAATATTCGCAATAATTATTAAGTTATCAATGACAGAAATCTGACGAGTGAACGCGCCAAGATGGATGATTGGAAAAGTGTTGCAGCCACTCGAGTCACAGCATGGTCCTGTCGATCTAACAACTATTGGCGGTATGCGGCGAGATGTAGAGATGGCGAGATAATGTCAGTCTTACAATGGCTGCAAGAATAAGGTTGAAGTGTAAATAATAAATAAACCAATCATAGTCGATTGCTATAAGAATAATCGACTATAGTTGGTTTATTTTTTACTGCTTACGCTTACAGCTTTATTCTTGCAGCCATTGTAGAAGAGCCTTAAGACATGAATAGTAGCACGTTGTTCTTTCTCTCGCCGCGCACTGGCAACAATTGCTTGACCGACTAAGCCGCGTTCTTGTTCAAGTGGCTGCAATACTTTTCCAATTATCCATCTCGGTGCGCGTTCATCAAATTTCTGTTATTAATAACTGGATAATTATTACAAATATAACAAAACGATACGGGACTTTTATGTTTGTTTTAATTCACTTTGTTTTCCTCGTACTGAGTTATGGGACATTTTGTATATTATTCAAGCCTGAAATCTTTTCAATACTGTAAAATATTAACTGTTTTGCGAGAATGTATAACCAATACAATCTTAATAACTCAACTCGATGTAAATATAGGAATATATATATATATATATTCTTTTTTGACAAATAATGTACACGAATAGTTATTCATTTTATGAATAACTGAATGACTTCATCTTATTGACTGTGTTCTATCACACGAATAGATACAATAATATATACTTCAATTTATACCTTCAATGGCTTAACGACAACCTCTCTTTATTCGCACTTTCCACTAGCAATTATTCCCTTTCTATTAGCAATTTGCTTGCTCTCTAGGTGAATTTGGCTTGTTGTCTGCTGCCTGCTGATGGTCAACTCTTACAATATTGTCATAGCACTTCTATAAAAACATTTACACGCGTTACTTTGCAATCTACTAAATGAAATCTCAATTTTGTTTTCCACAATATAATCACAGACTGCAGATTTTTATATAATGTGTTTGTAAGTTAAATGTAATTTCCAGATATTTTACACATATGATAATTATGTACAAATTAACAATTACATATAAAACGTTTCACGACACTTAACTACTCACTTTTAAAGTATTTATAATATCATGTATTTCCAAATTTTTACTTTGTAATGCTTGAATTATGGATTTCATTGTTACGAGTTTCTTTTGCGTACGTGACTTTTGTGCCACACCACATTTCTGCACGTATCGATTATACTTAATATATTTGATAAATTTCATCCAAGCTTCATTAGTGATAAAATCCGTTTTTCTCATACATTCTAAATTATATTTCCCAGTTCTTATGAAAATTTTGGCTATATTACTAGTATTCTTTTGTTTGCTGAAAAGTGTATTTATAATATTCACGAATGAGAACAACTTACAATGTTTCTTTTCCTTTCTCTTTGTTTTACCTTATCCGACTGGTGTCTGTAGTATTTATTGATTTAGCTATAATTGTCTTATTTCTTATATTGTCTTTTTCAATGTAAGTTATTGATTGTTGAACATCCAACTGCTGTTCAATATTCACTGTTGATTCAATATTCATATCCATATCCATCGTATATCCATGTTCCATTTTTATTAATATATTATGTTGATTTTCACTTTTAATGTTGCTTGTTGAGTCTTTGTGAACATTTTTAGAAACTCTGTTGTATAAAACAATAAGTTTACATTACTTTTTTTTTAATCACATGTTATATGCTAATAAAATATAATCTTATATAATTCAAATACTTTGTTATACCCTTGCATAAAAACAGATGGAATTGCAGTCTTCTTTAATCTTCTACTTTGTACAGGTGTGCCAGTATCATAATAATCATCGTCTGTAAAGTGGTCACTACAAATTCGTGCTTGTTTTGCAGTGACAACACAACCAATGCTATTAAGCCATTTTTCTCGCCTTTCTTCGTCACGTGGAAAACTAAACATATATTATTACATTAATTTCAACGAAAGCTGAGGAATATTTATATATTTTACATGTATAAAGTTGTAAGATATCTAATCATACCTCTAGGTTTATGCATTACCTGTGAAATTGTCGTGGTAACAGAGGACAATGCTCCTTTCGGCATACGCAACACTGAACCATTGCTCAGTTGAAAATTTTGTTCTTCCTCTGTATATTTTATGATAATAAAAAATAATCAGTTTGAATAAGATTCCTGGTTAAGCTATTAGTTATGACTGTCCTTGTTTGATATTGTTAAAGAAAGCTTATACCTAAATACCTTTTTACATATCAGAATAAAAAGATATAGACATAAATGAAACAATTTCACTATATGTATATATATATTTGATAAATGCTCTGAACACTTCCCTTTTGCTATTACATTAATAAACATATTATATTAATACACAATTAGTATGCAACTATGTTTTAACTTATATTTTTCACTTTCATTATGTTAATTTTACTGCTACTTATCGATTATTACAAAATTATATAGAAATTATATAGAACATTATAAATTTGTTATATCTAACAATAAACAAAAATAAATAAATATATATATATTTATTTTTTATTTATTCTGATATGTACAACGTAAAACGCAATTTTACGTATGGAATTTCTTCTATCATCAAAGAAGGATAGTCTAGGCGAGTACCTAAGTTTTAAACAGAGAGAAGAATGAGAGCGGCCACCGGCCGTATTTCGGGGGTACGGCTAGGCGCATTTTAGATGCGCCATCTGACCAAAATGCGCCTAAACTACGTCCGCTAGGCGCACTTTCGCTATGATAAAAGTAAAATGCGCCTAGGTTCGTGTCCGTACTACTTCCATGCAATGGATAATAGGTTAGAAAAAGACAGACGACAGACAATCGTTCCGTCTTTGTCTCACTACTGAGCGGCGCGCGGCAGTAAACACGAGGCGAGGTAGCGGCGATCTTATCTTTCATCTTTCACATACTGCGTTTCGCGTAATTAAGAAAGGAAATGATTTGGAAACTTCGGAAATTGACAATGAATAAATATAAAATTTGTGGAATTTTCTTTTTTACAATATATATATATTTTTTAATATTTATACATATGTGTGTGTGTGTTAGTGTAGAAAAATGTTGATACCAAATGTATCGTATCTGCCTCTTCCCCTTCTTTCACCTCTGCCTCTTCCTCTCCATTCACCTCTGCCTCTTCCCTTTCTACCATCTCTGCCTCTTCCTCTGCTTCGCCGCTGCTTCTGCCTCTTCCTCTTCCTCTGCCTCTTCCTCTCCCTCTCCCTCTCCCTCTCCCTCTTCCTCTTCCTACTGCAGCCACGACAGCTGCTTTAATAATATTTTGCAGTGTTTTAGGCTATAACAATAAGTTAATTTTAAAATATGAGACAAAGCGTTAAATAACAACTTACAATTTAATATAATATATTATAATTTAATATATTAGGGGCTTGCATGTATTCTGATCATTTTTTCACTTTAAAAAGGCATTTATTGAAAAAAATCGGTACAATATATTTCAATCAAAATATTTTCCATCATTTTCTACAACTTTTTCCCATCTTTCTGGCAACATGACGATATCGTGTTGAAAGAACGATGTTGGTTCGGAAGCGATCCAATCATCGATCCATTTTCGCACTTCTTCAGCATTTCGAAACCGTGTGCCAGCCAAGCCATGCTGCATCGATCTGAACAAGTGATAATCAGAAGGCGCTATGTCTGGTGAGTACGCTGGGTGCGGCAGAACTTTCCATTCGAGCTGCAACAGTGTATCCTTCACAACTGTTGTAACGTGAGGTCTAGCGTTGTCATGCAAGAGGATGACTTTGCGTCTGTTACTCGCTATTGCTGGTCTCTTTTGCAACAATACGTCGTTCAATTTGTTCAATTGACGTCGGTAGACATCTGCAGTAACAGTTTCATTCGGTTTTAGCAGCTCGTAATACACTACACCGTGCTGATCCCACCATACGCACAGCAAGACTTTATGGCCATGAATATTTCTCTTTGGTGTCGATGTGGATGGCTCTTCTGGACTAACCCATGACTTTTTGCGTTTGGGATTGTTGTAGTAGATCCACTTTTCATCGCCAGTAACAATACACCACAGAAAACTCTTCTTTTTTTGCCTGGCAAGCAATGAAACTGCGATGTTGAAACGGTTCGAAATGGCATTTTCAGTCAATTCGTATGGTATCCATTTTCCCTCCTTTTGGATCTTTTCCATCGCATGTAAACGTCTGGAAACAGTTGATTCATCAACTGCTAAGCTGTCTGAAAGTTCTTTGAGAGTTTGAGCTGAGTTTTCGTCCAATAAGTCTTGCAATTCGTTGTCTTCGAACTTTTTTGGTCCTCCAGGCCGTTCTTTGTCATTGACATTAAAATCACCACTTTTAAACCGTTGAAACTAAAACCGACAATTGGGATATGACGGAGCAGCATCACCATAAATTCTAAAAAGTGTTTGATGGGCTTCGGCAGCAGATTTCTTCAAATCAAACAACAAAAGTAATGAATGTCGAAAATGCAATTTTGAGCGTTCCATGATTAGCGTCTGTATACACTGAATAACTCAATAATACTAAATGGTAAACTGTTATTTTATGTAGAGAAATGTGAAAACCATCGAATTTAACAGTTAGGTTAGGTTGTTTTACATTGATACTTCGCATTTTCACCAATATATGGCGCTGATCAAAATACATGCAAGCACCTAATAATATATAGATCAGCATAGACATATACAGATTTTCATACTTACAGTTAATATAATTGGCTCGGTCGCTATCTTGGCCGTCGTAGCCGTTGTGGCCGACGTAGCCATCGTGGCCGTCGTTACCGTCGTGGCCATTGCAGCCCCCGTAGACGCCGCCGTCGTGGACGTCGTCATCACCGCGTTCAGCTCGTTCTGGAAAAATTCATAAAACATATTTGTTGCATATAATATATATATATATAATTAATATTTAACGATTAAATATATACTCACAGAATCATTCGCTGACATCTCTCGTTGCAGTGCCAGACACCGATTAATTAGAAAACGTGCGCGTACGCTAGGCGCATAGTTGCCGATTTTTTACGATCGCGCGTACGGGCGCGTTTCTATAAAACAGATTGTACTGCAGCACGGTACAGACAACGACAATGGCGTTTAAAATGCCTTTACTCGTAATTATATATAAAATATAGGTTTGAATTTATACTTAATATAATAATATGTAAAATATATGTTAACAACTATTATTTTGCAACTTTTTAGACACGATTTTGTTGTGAATTCTGCTTTACAACAATCTCGGGTTGAATCGCGAACCAATACTTTTCAGTATATGTATTCATTATAATACAGGGAATAGAACGTGAAAATCTTGCCTTTGAATCCGAAAACAATTAGCAGAAGAAGTGAATCTTTTTCAATGCGAGAGTTCGCATTAACTTGAATTCTATCTACTGCGATTGAATGCAAGGAATGTCTTAAGCTAAGTGAATTCTTTTTTAAACGAAAGTTCGTATTTGTTTTAATTTTACCACTCTGAAAGGAAATTCGAATACTTTTCAATGCGTAAGGGCGAAATAAAATATACTTTACTGTTTGGCAATACCATTTTGTAGACAAATGTTTTTTAGTCTAATTAATAATTAAAGAACAAAGAACAAATGATTCTTTATGATAAGAAAGTAAAAATTTATAAACATTTTATGCAAAGCATTTACCACTACCATCTCGCATTCAGCGTGATGAAGTTTAATGTGAATCAATATTTTTCAATATTTCTGTTCGGATCAGAAAGCAGAAATTAGAAGTATTAAAAAATATCAATACTTGTTAATTCTTCTCAATCCAACATTTTTTGCAGAACATTAAACGACAATACATTTACGTCAACCATATAGATTCCACGTGGATACAATATACCTGTTCTTATCGGATAAACGTTCAATAAACAGTCGAATAAAACTCATTATAAACATGAAAACACCTTACATAAACATATATAACAGCATGTATCACCTTATTCTGGTTGTTTAATAAAACAATCCTGCATAAAATGTCGGATCGAAAAGAATTAAAAAATATTTATATTTTTTCAATATTTCTTAATTTTGTTTTCTGGCCCCAGCGAAGGAATTGAAAACTTTTGGTTTGTATTAAATTTCATTGCACTGAATATAAGACGATAGTGGTGAATGTTTTCATTCAAAATGTTTACAAATTTTAATTTTCTTATATTATAAGGAATCGTTTCTAATTATTAATTAATAAACATTTGTCTATAAAATTGTATTGTCAAACAGTGAAGTATATTTAATTTTACATTAAAAAGTACCTGAATCTCTTTTCAGTGGCAAAATTTTAACGAATATGAACTTTCGCATTAAAAAGAATCTATTTAAATCAAAACGTCCCTCGCATTCGATCGCAATAGATAGAATTCAAATAAATGCGAAAAATGCATTAAAAAAAAATTTACTTCTGCTATTTGTTTTTGGATGCAGAGGCATACAAGATTTTCACGTTCTATTCCCCGTATCGCACTGAAAAATATTGACCCCCGATCCAATCCAAGATTATTACAAAGCAGAATTCATGACAAAATTTCGTAAATACGAAACAATACTTTTGAAATAAGACTTTTTATGCAGTGAAGTAATGTGGGATATTATGACTTGATCAATAAAGTGATATAATTCCTTTTTTGGACCATTGAGTCACGCTACACGACGAGTATCCGCCGTATCGAAAAGGTTAAAATATTATAGCACGTTCATTACGAATTATTATTCGATACAAGCTATAATGATTTCCGAAGCACATCAGCGTTAATAAACCGAGTGCTGTTTGCAAATATTTTTCAAGACAGTTGCGTCAATAGATGCGTTCAATAGAAGAAGTTGTTTTACAACTATTGTAAAATTCGTGAATCTATTATAATTAGTAGATGCTCTTTGATTCAGCCAAGATTAAGGGATCGTCTACAATAGAGGTCGTAAAATCATTAAGCTGTAATTCAAAAGACTATTGGCCAATACACAGTTCATTATTTTCCATGCGGTTCAGAAAAAATCTATTATAATTTTTCAAATCACAATCAATTCTCAATTTGTCAATTTCTTAGGATCTACGACTTTACGACTTTACGACTTCTATTGTAAACATAGCCTGAGAACTTCAGTCGGATTCACGAATTTTACTACAGTTGCAAAGCAGTTTTCTCTTAACATAACCAATGGTTTTTACGTACTTGTATCTGTACGTATGATACGAAACGTTCCCCGCTCGAGTAGGCGGAGCCTTTTTTAAAGCCCGTCAGTATTCGACTAATCGCTTCATGCTCGATACCGAGGTGATGTTAAATTATCTGTGCGTAAAGAATGAAAGGTCTAAACTACTGATGATTAACGATCTATTTTCTTCTGAATGATTAAAAAGACATTTTTAGAAAGATACGTTTATAGAAAGGG